GGGAAGGGAGTTCCAGAAAGGATCTTTCGAAGGTATAGGTTGCGGAAGGATAAGGTCAATTGGGGATGAGCGGGAGTAACGAGTGGGATGTGAGGAGTTGCATTGAAGGGATTGTATGATGTAAGGAGGACGACGAGTGGATGGACTAGAAAAGAAAGGAACCTAGGAAATACTATGCACGGAAGGAGGGGTAGAGCCAGGAAAGTTGTGAATAAAACCTCGACACCCGGTATCACCATGGGGTGCCGAACACGAATCTTACGCAACAATTCGTATATGCTTCAATCGCGAGTTTCCCCCTCCGAGAGACCACGTAGCCACACAGCTGTAATCGAAGATGGGAAGATATAAGGAGTTTGCGGGTGTAGAAAGGTAAGAGAAGCCAGGACCGATGAAATAGGCTGATGGAGGCAACACAATGGCGGGAAATTTTGGAAATGTGAGGATGCCAGGAAAGGTTTTGGTCAAAGACTACTCCTTGGTTTTTAACCGAGGGGAAGAAGGGGATGGGATGGTTATTTAACATGAGAGGTGGGATGCTGGGGAGGGAATATAAAATGATGTCTGAAGATGGCGAATTGCCGAAATGCGACCGACGGGGGACAGACAGATTCCTCCCCGCAGGTATAAGTAAACTTTTTCGAGCGACAGATTCATTCCCAACGTTTAAGTAAATTTTTAAGTCCCTGGGTTTGCAGAAAAACAACATATTTGTATGTTGAATATAATAAATGCAATAATGATTGTACTAAAATACAGTGAAATGATAGAATCAATTCTGTCCATCGAAATATGTATCTATTAAAAAAAGTACCACATTAATAATGATTGTAATAAAATGCAGTTAAATGATAAAATCAATGCAGTGGGCATTGGGGGTAATACATTAAAAAAGCAGGGCGTATGTTTCCTTGCGTTAGTTCGGTAGCAGAGAAAACACTAGAGGTATGCACTGATCATTTTTCAAGCCATTATGGTCACTAGCTGGTAGACATTTTTGGATGGCAATTAATTTAATTATTTATTAATAGCATCGATATAAATCGTGTTTACACTAGCCAGTCTTGTCAGATACTTATCACACGAGAAGATATTTTTACCTTCAATTTTCGGGGAAGAAATCGTTCAAAATTGTCACACTGCGCTTGTCTAAACATTCATGTACATCCATGATATTAGTAGGCCTAGCCGGTAGGATTGATCTTCATTTGTCATAAATTGCTCTTGTACAGCTCGTTATATCTGAGGTCGTTAGCAAGTTTGGGGAATTAATTTCACTATCAATTTTCGTGGGGAGGAAGGTGTGCGTTTGATAAACCGCACTGCCCAACCTTGGGAATGAATCTGTCTGAGTCAAACTTCATACTTCCACCTCGGGAATGAATCTGCACAATCTTGGGGAGGAATCTGTCGACCCCGCCATCTAGGATGGGCTGATCAAAACGATTGATAACGACTAAATAAATTATAAAGTTCAAATTAATTATTTGAAAGTTGCAAATAGTTCAATTCAATCAATATATATATATATATATTTATTTATTTATTTATTTATCATTTGATTGATAACGTAGCGTTGAGGATATGGCGGAGAAATCCATTGGATTTTGGAGGATTTGGCTGAGCCCCACAATTGGTCTGCGTAAGTCCAAGTCGGGCTGATGAGTGTTTTGCAAGCTGTAAGTTTATTATGTATGCATAAATTTTGTTCCCAGTAGGTGTCTGTCTTGTATGTGGGTTCTACGTAAATTTAACCTAACTATAGCCCAAATTAGCGGACTTGGTGGAGGTATGACCTTATTTATATACCCTGGTGAGCAGGTGTGACGTTTGAATGTAAAGGTTATGTGGTGACTCTTTGCTTGTTCAACTTTAATCCGCCTCCGAGTGCACCAGACGGTAATGAGGTTCAGATGTTGTTGAATTGCTTCTAGGCTAGGATGGGATTGGTGTATAAAAAGTGTGTAGATAGGAATAGGTGTCGTCCGCAAAGGTTGTGTGTGTTGTTGGCAGCAGTGTTCATTGTGAGGAGGATTGTACTTAGATCCTTTCTTGTCAGGTTTAATTCGCGTGATGGGTAACAAATCGGTGTCGATTCTCACTTTAATCCGATCCGAGAGGAAGGACATCAGGTTGAGATAGTAAGTGTAGGGAGGACGTGTATTAAGTTGTAAAGGACGGGGTGCCACACTCAGTAGAATGCTTCCGTAACGTCCAGAAATACGGCTGAGCAGTATTGTTTGTTTTCTAGAACCGTGGATATTGTGTCATCAAACTGTGAACCACTACTGAACAGTAGAATGGAGGGATCAGAATCCAAATTGATGGTTGGAAATTAAGTTTTCAGAGTAGACCATGGGAATTAGACTTTTAGTGAGGAAACGTTTAAAGATAAAATAAGGAGAATTCTTTGTCTATAAGATGATAGTGCACAGAGGGATTTGTATGGTTTTGGTATTGGGGCTATTAAGATAGTTTCCACTGGATGGGTGTGTGTTAGAAATATTGCATTGTTGAAATGTTTATATTAATTTTTTAGGTAGATTTCGGAAGATTTTAGGGGCTAATAAGATCGATGACCGGGGACCCTTTCGGAAATGACAAAAAAGACACTAGTAGAACTGTAGCTAGTCGTGCTAAATGGAGGTGTAATTTACCTCTCTAAAGAATTGAAATATCTAGGCATTAAGGAATCAACAACTAATACATTCACATAGACATCGAATATCGCCATTAGAAGATGGTAACGCCTTTGTTGGGAAAAGCTGAACAGCGATTATTAGACCATTTAGCCTACGAATTGGCGATTTGGTGGACGAATTTATTGCATTTTAAAGTCGGTCAGGATCCTCAGTACTGCTCAGATGCTAGCGTGCCAGATCATTATTGCAGTAATGAGAAGGACTACAATTGCTGAAAAAATAGTAAATCCTCTTGAATTCACCACCACTACTCTTTTTCATCCAGAGGGTGCTAGAGCTACAATCCACAGGCTAATGCACAATTCAATAGGTTTATCGCATAAAAAGATGAAAATAAAGCTTCGGAAGGAATTTCATACAGTCTAGGTTTTAGGGATGCCTGTCCATGCCTTGACCCAAAAATTCAGATTTAATAAAAAATTTCAAAACCCGAGAGTAGATTGGAAGAAAGGGATCCTGATTATATATTGGCCTATTATATTTTTACGTTTAAAAAATTAAACTGGAAATGTAACTAAAGCCATGAAGTTCAATAAAATTTCATGGTTTTTTAAACTTTATGGATGCTAATACAAATTTTTTTAAAATAACGTTAACTTTATTTCCAACTGTGGACAAAGTGCGGTACCTCCGACTGTACATTGCCAAACGCCTGACGTGGAATCCTCACACACGACTGAAATGTTAGGATATAGAGATCTTGCACGACTTCTTGACAAATTTCTAATTTACCTGTCAAGAATAAAAGGCTGCTTTACAACACCATAGTTAAGCCGGTATGGACTTACGGATTGGAAGTGTGGGGTTCAGCCAAACATTCCAACATCCACCGCATTAACACTCCAATCCTTAATCCTACGAAAAATACAAGATGCTCCATTTTATGTAAAGAACCTAACAACATATATAGACTTAAATATTCCTTTCGTTCAAGATGAAATCCGTTACTTTACCGCAAATTTCACAAACCCCTCCCAACCACTTTAAGCCCATAAGAAACCTCACATCCCGACGAACCCCATCGAACCCTCTTCGCCGACTGAGCCGAGAGATCTGCTAGGAAGTGACAGACATGATAATGACACACGTATCAATTACACAGACAATATTTTAGTATCATTGGAGTAATACCAATGAGCATTTTCTCCATTTTTGCTTTTAATTTTGTATATATTACCTTGCTAATTGTTACATGTTACCTACTTATTTTACAAATTTAAAAAAAAAATTAAAATTCAATGATTTTTTTTTATATACTTGCAAATGAATTTTTATCGGTCTTTATAACGTGTTAAACAACAACTTAACGAAATTGAGTGTTGCTCATTTTCCAATAGATATGCCAAATTTTTTAACATTACAGTTTGATTTGTATAACTGTTGACGTTAGTAGATAGGTCGTAATGTTAAGATGATAATTTACTTTTTTTAAAGTGTTAAAACCTGTTTTATAGTCCGCTAAAACCAGAATTATGTCTCAGTAGAAAATAGGACGAGGTGTAAAGTCTAAATTCAAATTTTTCAATCTGGTGTTCTTTTCGAAAAATAAAAATAAATTCTATATCGGTTTGTTGGATTTTTGATGTAAGCCGGTTCAGAATTCGCCGATCAGCAGTACGTGCTCTCCGGAGAAGCATTTCAAGAGGTGAGGGCAGTTTATCAAACGATGGCAAACATCGGCTGTCAATTTTGGCTCGGAGATCGGACAACTCGACAAATAATTAACAATGTGACAAATAATAACATTCGGTAAGTTGCCAAATCAGCCCGGGGCCTCCTCACTCGTGGGGCCGGCTCGGTTTTCATGTTTTTCAAACGGGACGAATCGGGAAAGGCGAATCACGCTTTAACCTTTATTAGAAGAAGAAGAAGAAGTGTGTGTGTGTGTGTGTGTGTGTGTGAGAGAGAGAGAGAGAGAGAGAGAGAGAGAGAGAGAGAGAGAGTGAGTGAGTGAGAGGACGTTTTAAATCATGCGGTAGGAAAGCGCGTCAGCACCGACCGATGAAGAGGATGATGACCTTCCCAAACGGTCGTAAATCCTCATTGTTCGATCAATGAAGTGCCATGCTATACTTGCATTTTCGACCAATAGTTCCCTGAACCCTGACATCTCGGGTTTCTCAGGTTGACGACATGTTGACATTGTACTGTTCCTGGAAGAAGATTTTCGTCATTTTTGATTTGATTACGTAGCTCTGGAAACTTCGTTTAAAATGTAAAATGTTTACAGCAAGAGTGAAAAGTACTTCGGGTTGCCAAATTCTCTCGTTTCCGGAAAGGATTGACATAAAAACATTTGTACTAGCTTCGACGGTATATGTACTATAATTGGAACGATCCAGAGAAGATTGGTGTGGCCCCTGAGCATGGATGTCACACGAGAACTTAATATTTTCTTTTTGAGATCTGGGTGATAAGCCTAAAACTTGGTCGTTTCTTATCCTCTTGGTCTTTTCCGCCGTATCTTCAACTCTACCAATCAGATGATTAATAAAGATCTTAAAATCCCATTCGTGAAGGATCTTATCAGAACACGCTTCCTCATTTTCCACCCTAACCTACTAGCCCAATCCCTTTCCTCAAGTCCCATACTTATAATCCTCTGCGCTGTCTCAAACGACGATGGCTCCATAACCATCTTAACCCTCTAAACTAAATAAAAGAGAGTTCGAGGAGCACTGGATGTTTTCTCTCCCTCCTCTACACTGGTCTAACAGATCTGTCAGATTTGCATATAATTATTTATACTATTTGCTTAATGCATGTTAATTGTGCACAAATAACAATAGATAAATTAAATTTCAAAACAGCGGTCAATAATTTGGAACATTTTCTATACTTTCGTAAGCGTAAAGAGCGAACGCTCATAGCACACAGGATTGTAGGCTTACCCTTATGTCAAGGGCATCCTAATTTGCCAAAGAATCAAGTTTATTTGCCAAAGTCAAGAACTACTGAAAGTAAAACACATCCTAACTACATGTAGACAAAGCTAACACTATACAAGACTTTATTGAAGCCAATATGGATATACTGAGTGGAACTGTGGTGCCAAATCCATCCAATATCCTTCCAATCGAAAGTCCTTAGACAAATTGTCAAAGCACCTTATTATGTCTCTAACCTCACTATCCACAAAGAACTTAACTTTCCTTTTGTCAACGAACTGATCCGGTCCAGATTCCAAGCCTTCCACACTAACCTTTCGAACCATCCTAACTGTACTGCTCGAGCCTTCTCCGCTCATTCACATCCTAACAACCCGCCTCGACCTCCTTGTTACCTAATAATACACATTGAGTGCCAGCAATGGCTGGTTCCTAAAGCACATGTTCTTCCGGTGCAGTGCTGGCATTAGTGTTGTGCTGTGTGATACATTAATCATGTGTGCATATTTGTATAGCAAACGATCATGTATAGGTAACATATAAATTAAAACAACTGTATGTTTTAGATTTGAGATGGAGAGGATACACGTGGTAATCTGCTAGTCTAATTGTAATGATAGTCATAGAATAGAGAACCTCTTCAATTTCCTTAAGCTGACAGAACTGTGTTCAAAAATTTTAAAAACCTAGGTAAATAGTTGTTTCCTCAATGTTACTTAAATTGCTTAAGCGAGTGTGGTGGAAGGTGTCCCCTTCGTAGACAGGCCTTATCATCGGTGCAAAATAATTTTGTCTTTTAAAAAAGTGATCACCCTTCTGGCATATGAACTAGGCTACTTTGATAACGAAATTTGATGTCTGATGTCTTACCACTCGCATGCAGTTATCTTGTTTACTAGTAAAAAAAGTGCCACAGGAAGATTTCAATGCGCAGTTTTATTCATTTATAGCTAATAAGGCTGGTGTCTTTACGTTCTTCTCTTCTTTGAGGTGTTTCAACTTAAAAACACAACAAAACACAAGGAAAACAAAGCGGTGAGAATAATTAGTTATCAGGGGCGTTACGTTCTTGACAGATGATATAATCTGATATTAATGATCACTTCATTAAAATTAATGCGGAATCAAGGGTGAGAACATAAATTCAAGCTGGGCGTTCTTCTCTTCGCCGCGAGTCTTTCTACTCTCTGGCGGATACACCATTTCCAGGTTTTTTTTTACCCGCAAAACGCCCAATATTGGCCAATCTTGGTCGAGCTCAACAAATAATCCTCGGTGTCGACCATTCAGTTCATGGTCCTTCCTACGAGCGGAGGTCTTTTTAATTACCCTATTTATATGGAATTCTTTATATGGAAATTCTATAGCTTTTGTGGCTTTATTTGTCCCCCCTGTGCGTAATTATTTATTTTTATCCATGACAACCAAACAGAGAATTCGAATTTATCTTAACAAACTCTGATAGGTAACTTGCATTCTTTCTCCCTCCTGTGATGAATGATTTAAAATTATTAATCCGATTCCTCCTCCGGTCATTTTTCTCTTGCCAATATTCAAAAAATTAATTTTACCCATTAATACGTTTATTATTATTGTACTTTATTTTATTTATTTTTATTTTTATTTTGAAAGTTTGTTAAGATCACCGAATTCGATACAATTTCAGCAGTTTGATCGCACATGGATTGCCTGTTCTCGCCGAATTTAGGTTGTCAAAACCATCAGACCAAAACCACCAGGTTGTCAGCAACTGACATCATAAGCCGAATCAAATGGACATACAATCGCAGCATTAAAATACATGGCAGGATAAAATCAATCCCACTTGCCAAAGACAAATACGAAAATTAATTAAAAAGAGTACAAACCATAGCACACAATAACGACTATAACTCAAACACAACCAACAAAATAATAAACAAAACAACACCTCAAAAGCAGATACATGGACCGCATTGGGAAAGAAACTTACAAACTAACTAACTTATTCAACAAATTATGAAATTATGAAACAATGCTAAAAACCACAAACACAATTGGAAAATTACTAAGACAAAACATCGAAAAGACGAACCAACAAGGAAAAACATAACATGCGAATGCGGAGACAAATACATCGGACAGACAGGACTTAAATTAAAAGACAAATACAGGGAACACATCAAATTGTTAAGGTATAAAGACGGAAAATAAATAACCACGACGTTAAGGGACAAAGACGGAAAATAAATAACCACGAACCATCGTAAATACAAAACAAGTATTACGTACAAAAAGGGCAGAAAATGAACCTAGTCGAAAACTTCGAAATTACACAGAAAACTTAGAACATAACATAGTCAACTCTAAAACAAACTCGTAAATTCACGAATAATAACTCATAAAAATCTTTCATACCATATAAAACATTACAATTATTAAATTCACTAATTTCGTGGTCCGCTTGACCAATTAATACTTTACAATTAATTAAGGTTTTTAGTTGAGATGAAAAAAAGTTAATGGCACGAGAGGGATTCGAACCCACGACCTTCAGCTAGATACGCCGCTGCTCTACCACCTGAGCTATCGTGACCTCGATCCACTAGGACATCAATTCCCCATCTCAACCCCATTACAATTATTAAAATGAAATGGACCAAAAACCAAAAAGACCGACTAGAACCATAAAACAAACCGACTTAATTCATCAAAAACACATACAAACAATACTAATAGTGATAATAACTACACTGCCTCCTCATCATCCACGACCTCTTTGCTAAACTTCACTGGACAGATATCACCCAAACTCTGAAGATGACGAAATGCCTAAACATTTCTGAATTAACAAAAATCAGCGAGGATGGGCAGACAAGGATGCTAGGAAATTATCAAGCAATATAATTGAGATAATTTGGTCGTTACGAATTGTTTTGGTTTACCGATCTTAGGGATGGTTAAAGTTGGTTTGCCTATCTTCCCTTCAGTTGCAACTGTGCCTACCTTCCCTAGGTTGCTTTGTCAGACGCATATCAGTATTTCGCCATCTTCGGTGTGACTGTCATCACCATTCTATTCAGCCTATCCTGTATGCCGACAGACCAAACCGCCAAAGATAGGCAGACCAAAATGACAAATTACAGGTTCATCGCCCTGCAAAATCTAATGAAAATAATCTTTTTTTCGATTTTGTGTTTATTTTTAAAGTCCTTTTATACCTCCAATGATTTAGTTAAAGATATTGATTTAATAAGTCTTATTTTATTTGTACTATTTTAAATAGTAGTGGTAATAATTTGTGTGTTGGCTACATATGTTCCGTGAAGTAACGTTAGAAAATATATGATTTTTTTTCTCCTCAGACTACTCCTCTTTTAACTTATTCTTTGAAAAACCAGATCTTAAAAGGTTGGTATAGTGTGGAGAAGTTTAAATCTGGACACCCTTGGTAGGGCTTTTAAGAAAAATGTGGACTCCTCCCAATATTTCCAAACAAAAACGTGGTACTGCAAAGATGTCTCTTAAGTTCTACACATGTCTCTAATAAAGCTTTACAACATTCGCACAGATTATCATTCTTTTATTAGATTGGCCATAACAATTTAATGGCTGCCATGTTACTTTTGCAGTCTATAATTTTATGAGGGATTTCTTCTATGTTGTATTATTGAATTTCATTAGTTAATACTATTTTGTAAACTAATTTTTATTAAAAAACAGGGATACGGTCAATTTGAAAAAAAACAAAAAAAAAACAGTTCCTTTGTCGAGCTTTCAATTGGGATGTTAGTGTTTGTATGTATTTATTTGATTAAGAACTTACTAAATAATGAATGGCTATTCTTAATTACCAGTTGAATTATTATTCCATATTACTTGTATTGTTTTTTAAATAATAATTCTGTTGCAACTGTGCAGTAGGTTGTACCATCCAAAATTAAGTGAATTTAATTGGGTGTGATTGGGTTTTTATCTAAAAATGATAATCTCGGTTGGAAGGAATTACAAAAGTACAAAGGTTCGCTTGCCTTTTCTTGTCAAAGGACATGAGACGATGGCGAAAGGGTTCAAAAATAGAACAGTCTGCCCCAGTGTCTAGTCATTGCAAGTATATATAGAACTGCGTAGAGAGTGTGGCCTTGTTTAAAACGAGGTAACTTTAGACACGGAAAGAAACTTCAGCAGGAGTAGTGACATTTTCCAGTGAAATTCAATATTTTGGATATTGAAAATTAATTTCTAAAAGAAGAATGAGTCTATGCCCCAATACTATACCTTTTTATATATTATTTATATTTATATTTTTCTTAACAAGCAAAAATTGCAAGATATGGGTCTTTTTTGCCCTCTGTGGACATACCGATGAATTTGAATTTATATTAAATTTTTAGAATGGAACATCAGTCAAACTATGAATTGGGATCACTTTCACCCATTTGTCAACCTTAATAAACTTGTGTCATTGTGTATTGTATCGTTTGTGTGATAATCCAAATAACCAGATTAAGGACTGGACTTAATGGTTAATAAAATGTAGGATAAATGGATTTGTTAAAAAAATATGTTTTTATGCAAAATTATATACTTAAATATTGTTGAGGAAACAAACTGACTTACAATGTACAGATATAATATAATTATATAATTTAAGGGTCTGCAATGAGTCACTCAACTCTGTTTTATGTATTAATTTCTTTTTTTTAAACTCAGTTTTGTTTCTCAAAGCGATCCAGATGTTAGGAGTTCTGGTCTATTGATTGGTATTTAGATTCTTCAAAGCTAGTAAGTTCGTTGAGCAAAAATAAACATCTTTCATGTTTTCAACATGTTCAATGATTTATAATTTTACGTAGTGTGGTTGAGATGAAAAAGCGTGAAAAAGTCTCGAACCCACTACCTTCAGTTCAATACACTGCTGTTCTAACCACTTGAGAGCTGTCGTGACTTTGGTACCCCCGACACCAACTCATCATCTCAACCTACAACTTTTTTCAAACTACCCTCTTTTTTGCCTTATATTTAAATTAATCGTTTTGGATTCTTGATGAACTCACAAGAGGCTGTGGGAAGCTGTTTGTGAAGTATTGGTCCTTCAAATAATTATTATATTATGTTTTTAATTGGGCCTTTTGCTAAACCAGATCAATTATTCATTGATTTATAATTTTATATTGTTTCTTTTGTGTTAAAAAAAAGATTATTTAAATTTATCAAAGATTATTTAATTTATCAGGGAATAAGTGTAAGAACTTTTACAACGGTAGATATTTTTAGTTTACATATTGTAGAGACTGCTCCTTCATCCAACACTTTACACTTTAGGTTCCTTGGTGTATGAAGAGGTGTAAGAAAGAAAAGAGAAGTACTAGTTAATTTTTAAAAATTTGACTTGTTTTGAAATTTATTTTTGACTACCTCATACTAGAAAATTATACATTCATTTTGTGAATTTTGTTTTCTCTAATAAGAAGAATCAAAGGCATGCAAACAAAGAGATGTTAGGAAGAAGCAAATAGTAGATTAGTAGGCTCTAAGATCTTTATTTAAAATTTTTCAGAACTAAAATACCTACATACAGATGTGTTTATAATTCTATAGGGTAATTTACAATTTTCCACAATCATTTTTTTTTTAAATTAATTCAATGCCAAAGATAATTTTGTTTGCCAAATCGCAGTTTAACTAGAGAAGATTTTTTTTGTATACATTTTAATTTTCTTTAATTTTTTTTTGTCCACTTACACCTATGATAGTTTTAGATTCTATACATTAATATTTACAATTATTTCGATTCGGATAAAATTGTCAAGTTGAGGCTACCCTGTCCAAGAGAATAATATTCAGTATATCTGTGTATGTTTATTTTTCACATTTAAATTTGTACATTGTGTTAAAATTTAACTACAGCAAAAACCTTTTTTTGTAAAATAAACTTGTAAAAAAGTTTGTAGTGTTTTTCTTAATATATTTCATTATAACACTTATCTTTTTTAAATAATTAATCAAGTTATTATAAACATTATATATAATCGATACTGAAAAAATTAGTGTTTTTATATCATAATTTATTTTTTAACAATTAGACATCCAATAAAGTTATTGACAACCTGTACACGTTTTATTTTATTACTTACTAGACATATCGTATCCCAATTTTTTCACTACAATGACAGTTAAACAACTATATTAATGTATTTATTTTATTTTGTTGATTTCTGTATAGATTGTAAATATAGGAGAAACGATAAGGAACAGTTGAGTGCACCACAAATAAATAGAGCCCGGCACCACTTTAGCTATCTTGCATGCACCATTGAGGTAGCAGTCTTACTTATATATCACACTCAGTACAGAAACTAGGATTTATTCAATTACTCGAACAAAAAGGAAAAAAGTCTGTTTGCGTCCCTTAAGCAAAAAAAGGTTCACCAGAATTATATTATAAACGTTTTTTTTTGTTTGTTTAAGGGAATCTTTTTTATACATTTTAGAAAAACAAATCACATATTCTGAGGTAACAGTTAACTTAACAATACAGGCAGTGATTAAATACAATATAGTTTCCTGCCGTTTTTTTTTCTCTTCTTCTTTATTTTATTTTACAGTTACAACATTCTATATAAAGGTGAGGTAATAGAGAATTGGTATGGATGCTATTATACTCGAGATAAAAAGCAAAATAAAATAAAAAATAAATAAAATGGAATGAAAAAAATAAAACAAAATTTAGTCAATACTATATTTTATTGACACGTAAAACAAAAAAAAAATAATTTAACTGAACACAGGAACCAATACCAGATTTGTCGTCTTGACTATTTACAATATGAATTTCCAGTCAGTTTGTGGTTTTGAACTTTTCAAACGCGAGTTCAGATCAAGTTAAAAACGACACAAAACTTAATCGATACTGGAACAAAATGTACAAAAGACCTAGACACCATCGCACAGCCGTAAAACAATTTGTGCCGTAACATCATTAAAAGTTCACTACTTAAAAAAAATAATATATATATAAAATGTAAATGTAATAAAATACACAATAAAATTGCATTAAAATTGATCAGAATATGAATCTTAACATTAAAAACCACTTGCTCAGAGGAATGGTGCAGTTATCTTTATACAAATGTATAATTACGATAATAATATTGTACATATTAAAATTGGTTAAAACATAAATATTAATTAGCAAAAACCAAAGCGGAATAAATATGCTAAAAGTATAAATAATTAGCATCAAGCTAAGAAAGAAATGCATATAAATAAAAATCGGTTGGTAACATTCCCATATAAATATATCTTGACTATATATTGTCTTCCATCAAAAACAAAAAAATAATAATTTTAATAAAAACAGAAATAAAATAAATATGAAAAGCAGCATTGCAAAACAAAATTGCACAAAATTGATCCCACTCTGTTGAAAATAACAGCCATACCAAATTTTTAAATTCTAAACTGTAGATTTAATATCACACTTAACAATGGTAAAACAGTGATAATCATTATTGACCACAGATTTAATTCTGTCTATCACACTGTTTCGGAATCAACGCACAAAACGAAAGGATAATGTCAACTATTTCTCTTAAAAACACCCATACAATTATTATGTAAATTATGTACATTTTGTTAAAAAAAGAAAAGAAAAAAAGAGGATTTTAAAGAAACAATTAACAATCAATCCGAAACAAGTGACACAATTAAAGAAAATATAAATGTGTGGAGGTAATTATTTCAAATGTTCTGTTAGAAATTTTTTAAAATAATTATGCTGATTTTTTCCCACTGTTAACTGAATCAATAATTAAACAGCATCAATAAATTTATTGCATATCTTCATTGCAGCAAGGTGACAATTGAAAAATAATTAACTCCACATGACTACAAATAATATTGCACATACAATTAAAAAAATAATAATAATTTCCAAATATGTTGACTTTCCTGGTTTGATTCAGACTGGGTTTTAACCGGAGGCCGAGACCCCCTTGGAAAGTTAAGCACTCTCAATGAAAAGGATCTTGTCATCGAATACACTAGTCTAAATTCTATACTATATGGAAGCCAGTAGAACATTTACAAACAGATTATAACATAGAACCACAAATTAATAAAACAATTATCATTCTCTATACAAGAACGTCTGTACCTTGTGTAGCATGTAGACATGGGTTTGATTGATATGAGCATCTCTTGTTGCTATTTGCATTGACTGTTGATATTTATTAATTTGCTGTTAAAAAAAAAAAAAAAATTTGATTACGTATGGCATATTTTAATTTATTGATAAATCAATCATTAAACAATGTTTGTAAATATTTCCATTTATATATATTTATACATGTTTTTTTTGTTTTTTCAAGTAAATTTACAGATAAAAATAAAATAACTCGTTATCAATAATCAATGCAAATAGGAAATCAACCGACCTGATAAACTTAATCTAAATACCTGTATCTATTGTTGAAGGCTGTATCCCGGAATGAGATACCTTACCCTGCAAGTGTTCATAATTTGTAGATGTAAAAATATTAAACAGTATTCTATAAAATATCTCTTTTTAACAACTGTATACACGGTTCTGCAAATTATTTCTGGTTTGAAACATTTAAATAATCGTAATAATGACAGAATAATATTTTTCAATCTTAATTTCTTTTTTTTTCCATTTATTACAATGAAAAACGTCTAAAATCATTGTTTTCACTAATAATACCTAATACACTTTTTCCTTTTTTCCTAGATTTTTTAAAATTTTTATACAAGTGCAGATAGGAGTGCAAACATTAAATTTTGGTGCGCAATTCTGTACTAATCTTTATACAACTAAATTTTGAACTTTGTTCTATTTTTTAAATCTTAATCATTGGAATCAGCAACAAGGAAAAAAGTCAAATCAACTGTTATTCGATAAAAAATAATAATAATAGGTTTTTTGAATAACGTAAGGTTAATAAATGAGTTAACAAGTTTAACAATGAGATATATCACTTCTCCCAAATCTTTACATAATCTGGGTTTGGCTCTTACCTATTAAGTAACCACAATAAATAATTTTTCTAAATGATTTTCATTTTAATCACAAATATGTTGTCACATTGATGCTTCAATGTGTCCAACTGCACCAATAGCAGTCCTGTTGTACATTTATTTTTATAGACTGTAAATCACACCAGAAATTCAGTAGGAAATTACTTTTCAAGTCCCAATTAAGTACATCGGTCAATACTGTAAAATACTGTAAGTGTACCTAACTATACTAGTAGTAAACATTATATTTTCTTCTTCTTTATAAATAAAATCTTATTTGGTATAAATATCTGTTGCAGGAACTGTCTTTTGTAATTAGTTATCAATTAAAGAACTGAATGTGTATCTTATTATAAAACTGAAGATGTATAAACATACATTAAAATATACTCTTACAACATTGGCATGTTTCAGTCAGTCTTTGTAATTTTTCATTATCATCACACCAGAGTGAAATAACTTTATAAAATTAATATTGCACCCCCTAAAATCAATTTTTGTTAATTGTATAAATGAGACATGTTAAGGTTCTGCCAAACTGTTTAAATCGACACTGGGACCGATCCGAATTTTGAAAACAAGTGAATTTGTATCCTGTTAATGACGGTCAACACGAGGCAAGTTTGTACGAAGGATGAAGAATGAAATTCATATCTAACATTCCATTATCCTCAAATGACACTCAAACATCTCCTAAAACACCACTTAGATTTGTAAAACTTCATTGTTATAAATCAAAAGGGTGTCACACCAACCAACAGCAACACTGAAGGGGTAATGTGAAAATACAAAATTAATTTTATAAGTAAAAAACAAAATTAGTTGACATAGTGTTTATAATTGATTTTTCTGCACTAAAGTTATATTACAGTAAGATCATAAATTACTCCATACATATTAAATTTTAAAGATGCTTTTAATATAATTTCTCCAAAACTGCAAGAACTAAAAAATAAAATGATGAACATCCTATTATAATATAATTTCTCTTTTAGCTAACTGCTGAATATTGTTTATATATTGGTTTCCACTATGAATAATGAATAAGCTGGAAATTACTGTAATCATAAGTACCGATTATTGCTCATTTTAATGTTATGCACAAAATGTAAATAATATATAAATTTAGCAAATATAAGCCACCACCTTTTTTGTTTCCCAGTAAACTACCAATTCTTGTTGTGACACCCTTACAAAAGATTTAATAAAGTGTTAATAAATACACCAGAGTATACAATACTTCAATGGAAAGATAACTAAAATTCACATCACCCAAACTCTTTGTTTTCCCTAGCTGTAGTGTTTCGTTAGAATAAGAACATTTAAAATTTGGGAAAAACTGGTTGTTGTCAATCTTGCCCATTGTGCTGTTGGCCTACGGGTATTTCTCTCCGCTGTGCGCTCGGGCTGTTGCTGTTCTCTTCGGGCTCTGTACAGTTGGGGTTGTGTTCTTCTTTAACAAAGTCGAGAGCCATCGGGCTCGTCCTTATTTCTTCTTTTCCCCCATAGTCGAGAGGAGTGCTCCGGTGTCTTCCGCTGTCTTCCTCGTCTTTGGTATAGTCCATGACCCCTGCAGGGTTGGGCTCACGATTTTTCTCCGATTGTGGAAGCAGATGCACCATCCCAACAGGGACGGGGAAAGGCGCTCCGAAATCGGGATAAAAATTGGTCGGCACCGGTGGATACGGGCCGGGGTTGAACCCATGCGGGCCCAACATCATGTGGTCTGGCTCAGGCAATTTATGCCCTTTGCTACCCGTAGTCGGGTTGTTGTTGTTTGATATGTTGCCTAAGCCTAATAGATCCAATGGGCTTCCAAGCTCACCGAAGCATTCTTTTTTTAACTGTTCCAGTTTCAGTGACTTCCCGTATTTGCCCCTAACGTACATAAGCAGGCTGTTGTACGGTATTCCAAAAATCCTGGAAGCCTGCGATGTCGTCATCTTTTTATTCCAAACGTGTTGCAGAGCTTCGGTCAATTCTGCATTGGTCCAGGATCTTGGCGGTCCTCCTCTCGGTGCACTGTGTTGTCCTTTCGGTCGACCCACTAAAAGAACACAAAATTGTACTGTGACCATTTAAAGTAAAATGTTGTTTGTCATTTCTTAATGTCCAATGATTAATAAAATTATAAAGCTTTCTTGTAAATAAATGAACTTAGAAAATATTTATTCATAATTATTTTTGATTATTAAAAAATTTACTTACTTTTCTTTTTATTAGATATGTGATTTTCTAATCTTGATTCTGACATTTCATTTAGAAGAGAATTCCGACAATTATCCATTCCAGGGAATAGCCCTGCGAATATAAAAAAAGGGGAAAAAATTAAAACTGACCAAATTTTAAATATGAACTCAAATGCTCAAGTCCAATGTCAAAACTATATAAATACATATACAAAATAATAATAAAAACATATAGTGTAATAAATAATTAAAGAGTTTTAAGGCACAAACAATGAACAACAATACTTTAATAATAACAACTGAAACTGTAATTAAACATCATTCCCGTGAGGAAGACAAAATAAAATTAATGTTAACGACCAAATTCAAGTTCAAAAGTTCATCACCCCACAGACCACATAGAGAAATTTCAAAATCTAAGAACTGAAAAATTGCTAAAACCATGCAGACTGGCTTAAATACATTCACAAAAATAGACGGAAAACAGAACATTTAAATATTTAATTTTTAACTGAACCTACCAAGTTGAGAATCCAATGAAAACACTGTAACAAAAATTTAAAATTGAAGAGTCCATCCTAAATTTTTAGTTATATTTTTTAAGGAAAGACATAAGAATTATCTAGTGTAATTGTATGACTTACTATGTGGTGGCGTCAGTGAGAGAGCAGAGATGGATGCCAGGTGAGGAAATGAATTTTCTATAGGGGAATCCTGCAACCGGAAAAACTATTTTAATTAGATTTATGAACAAGTACGGGGAAGGGGGACTGCAAGAAAACAACATACATGATGTGGCGGAGGCAGATTTATAGGTTCAGAACTACTGAAGTCCATTTTATTTTCTTGAGAGGCAGTCGTCAGAGCGACTGGGTGGGTTTGATTTGAGTCTTGGGGATCCGAGTCATCATTTTCCATCTTCATCTAGAAATTAATGCAATTTAAGTAATGGGCAATTTCAAAAAAACAAAATGTCCATCTTACATTTACTTGAGGAGGTGTGGGTGTTGTGTTTTGCCAGTTTGATGTATTGTTGTTGTTGTTGTTTTTCTTCATTGACAGGTTCTCAGCAATGTCTGACCTAATCGGGGAATTGGGAGCCTTGCTGAGATCTTGTGGTCCGCTTGTGTCCCCTGATCTTCTCCTGGGTCTGGCCTGATAACGAAATGATTAAAAGAAGAGCGTAAAGACAAGTATGTATACTAAATAGTTAGTGCAGTAAAAGAATCATGATTTTTGGGTTCTAAAATGGAATAAAAAAAATAAAACAGGCCTGTAACATTATGCAAGTCGGATTGATTAACAATTGCGATAATTTTTTTTTTAATGCTCAGGTTTTGCCATTGAACAGCAAAATTGGCAAAAGAAACCCAAAAAGCACAAGTCATTTTCGTTAAAGAAGTGTTTTATCTGTGATTTAATTGTACCTGCTGCCATCTCCTCCCCAAAACACTATTGCCTCGACACATACAAAATGCATGGGTGTGATGGCATGACATCTTTCTTTTTGGGTGACTTTTCCTCAACTTTATGGGTAAGCATGCGCAAATTAAACTCACATAACTATCACAGTTCATGAAATAATTCACATGTAAACATTGCCTTCCATTTGTATTTGTATTCTTTTTTGTAAATTTTGCTTTATTGAAACTTAATAAATAACCAGACTTTTGAATACTTGAAATCCAAAGTATGTCAATCACAATACAAACAATGGTGGGTTTTATTTTTTCTTACCATGTCTATTTTGTCATAAAATATTAAAATATACATAATGTGATAAAAATATACTTTCAGATGGATATGCTAGGAAAATTTGGATGATGGAGGCGATATTTTCTTGCACAAAAGTTAAAAGACTTGCATTATGGAGGCCCTCATTGTTTCAAGTTTGAACATCACGACCCACATTTAATTATATATTTAATATCTTTCAAATACCTGCTTTCGCCTTGGCAGAGGTGACGAACAGTGGCGTTCAGCCATTTCACCGAAAGAAATATTCGGAAGGTGAGGTATTTGGGGTAGCCTCATCGAATGAGGTGGTCCGTTGTATTGGTGATGGGGCGAGGAGGTCGTGTTTGTCGCCCCTGGAGAATAACACCTATCCCGTTGCGGCGCATCCTTATCACTGGTGCCGGTGACAGGAATCCTCTCTGTGTGTGCCAGACCCCTTACCTAAAACCAAAAACAAAACAATGGAAATAATCTGTATACAAACCAAAAGAACAAGGCTAGTATGGCTTTTTTTTAAGTTAATCTTTTTTATGTGAAATGTAAGAGTATTTTTTTTTAATGATTAAGCTCACCTGAAGGGATTCGGCGGCTTTAATCAGTGAACTGAGCTGCTCCTGTCCTACACTGATCTCCCCTTTATACATAAAATCTATTATAGCTTGCACTTCCCATCCTCTTAAATCCTTCAACACGATCACAGGATGTTTGCATGGCGTTTCCGAAAATATCCTTTCAAAATAAGGACTGAAACAAGAACAAAACAATTAAAAATATTCACCTATTCAAATGTATCTAATCTCAAACAATTTAATTATGTTAATATCAGAAACGACAAACTATTTGGTAGCTGAAAGTTTCTGATGATGAAAAAACATAAATTGAGAAACTAGGTGTAGACAACGATCATTTGAACTTTACACAGTCTATTAAAAGCTTCAACGATAATTCTGTACAACTTTTATTGCACAACCTTATCATGAACTATTTTAAAATGAGTCATAAACTGAATCTAGAACATACCTGCACGCAGAAAGGACGACTTTGTGTGCTTTAAAACTAGTTTCTTCGCAAACGAGCGTCACGTCGACCAGCGTCTCATTTTGCAAAAGTAAGTCGAAGGCGGAGAGTATGTGATTTTGATGGTTATTCCAACGAAGGCTGTAGTGAGGAGTACTCATTTCCGTTTGCTAAAACAGAAAAACACCATTATTAATAATGGAAGGAAATTAAAAAAAAAATGTAAAACAATTAAGCATATTCAATATTAATGTGATAAGCCCTTGTTTAGTTCTACCCAATGATTCCATCTTTTTAAAAACTGTATGTGATCTCCCAATCACCACATTATTCTCCCGTTCAGAAAACTCATTATCTCACTTTAATGAGGAAACGGTTTAGAATTAGAAGTACTTCATATGAGCAGGTTCCAAAAGTAGCAAATTGTTGTTAATGACAAAAGACTTTGCAAAATGAAAGCTTAGAGTTCATTTATTGTAATCTTAAAAAAGGTCCTAAGGATTTTCAGAAAAGAAAATCTATGCGAGTGAATGTTTCTGAACAATATTTGCAGGAGATGAGTTGATCTACATACATCAAGGACTTTTCGTTTAATCAGCACTTTGGCCATTTTAATCCGGCTGATACATAAACAAAGGACACTGTAAGGGGATCAAAAACATTCCTAATGTTGAACAACGCATTGTTTCAACCTTTGTATCATTTCCTGGTAATCACAATAACTGGTATTCAATTAAAAATAGTTTTAAAAAATCGAAAGACTTTTGCATCATGTGTGTGCTGATAGATGGACTTTTAAAAAACTATAATTCAATACGATTTAAATATTAAGCATAGTTTTGATTAAAATCATTTAGGCTGTCAGCTGTGTTTCAGTATTAGGCCGTATTCAGTGGCCCTTTTTCTGTTCTACTTGATTTTTGCAATGCATTGCTCTGTAAATTATAATTTGCCTATTTGGAAACTGACATATCTTTTTGTTTTTTCTTCTAGTGATCTCGTCTTCTACCAGGCTGACAGAACTTAGAGAGTTAAAGCTTCCAATTCTATCTCCTCTTCTCTCTCTCTCTCTCTCTTTCTCGATTTCGGCTGGTGTACCACAAGGCTCTATTCTTGGACCTTTACTCTTTTCCATGTTTCTAAATGAACTTCCATTAGTTCTTAATTTCTCCCTCATTTAAGCTGATGTCACTCAGCTTTACATTCGACACCCTACGAACAACATCTCTGAAGCTAACTTTCTGCTCAACTAATGGTCGAGAAATAATGACAATCAAAAGAAAATTAATTTAATTTAAAAAAAAACACTAAAAAAACCCAGTCCTTATTAATTTCCAATAAACTCCTTAATAGAAATTGCCTATCACTCTTCATTTCAACAGCTCCCCTATTAATTTTTGTTCTGTTCTTTTTCTCGCTAAATGTCGAAATGCATATGGCAGCATAAAAAAGCGAGGATAGGAAGACCAAAATGATCGGTAATACACCAAATAATGCCTGTGAGCACTGAGTCACCAGAAACTTTTTTCTTTTTATAATAGTATATATTTTTTATCCTATAAGTAAAATTCTTGACCTGTATACATTTGAAAATAAACTAAAACAAAATCTGGGACTATTTGGCACTAGGGTGTGAAGAATCACTCAGTGGTGACACTTCTAATAGGGTTTACATGCTTTGTATGACTTGCTGCCCAACAGGTCACGAGGAAACTGCCGCTTTAATTTCCTGGAAAATTATTGGGGATAGTTTTGTTAATGTCCTGTACATCAGTCGTTTGTTGTGAAGCGTCAATTTTGCTAGTTTAGGACGTGGTTAACTATAGGAAGGATATGTTATGATGTAGGTGTAGTGGTGACATTATTCCACGTCGAAAGGTAAAGGTTATGTGTCGCCTTTTATGTACATTTATTTTTATCCGCCCCCGTTTTTAGACAAGATTCTATTTTGATTAGGTGAGCCTATAAGGAGCGATGTAACAGGACGGGATCATTAATATTATAGAATAGCTGTATCCGCAAAAGTGTGAATGGATGTGCTAGGATGGGTAGGGAAATCAGGAGATTGAATAAAGGATCGGACCGAGGATACCCTACAGGACTCCGGCCAACAGAGCAAGATGTTCCCAGGCTGACCTGAAAGAAGCGATCAGTCAGATATGATCAGAATATGAGGAAATAGGTGAAGGGAAGGATGCTCTTGACTCCTGACTAACGTTTAAATTTAAAATAAAAAAAGCCATTAAAAAAAGACTGTCAAGTTGTGGCGGTATGCAGTTGATAGCATGGCTTTTATGAAAATTGTACGTAGATGGATTTTTGTGCATAGCAGTAGATTTTGAGTATGTATGGTACCAATTGTCTTAGTTTTTTGTTGTCGTAGATGACATTGTGGAAAGGCGGCCGGCACTTCGGCGTATATCACTTTCGAAACGTACGCTTCATTGCACCGCCCGTGACTAAAGGGCGGCGCTCCGGACCGCTATTGTTTTACACGGCGTTACAAAGAAAAGAAAAGCCAGGGGAGTGCGAAAAGTGGGAATTGTTACGGAACCCGGGTCTCTAAGGCTGGGTCGAAAAGCTTTTTCCACCAGGAATCGGGTTAGCCGATACCGTTTTGAACGAACCTATTAGAATTCGAGCGAATCGGGAAAATCGTCGACGGATTCCCTTTTATCGGATGTTGTGCCTTTGAGAACAGCGTGACGCGGCTCTTTTTGATTGCCGGCCACAATGGATAAGATCGGCCTTTGTTTTCGAGGGTCGAATCGATGGCAACGTCTAGACTAAAAAGGTGGCTGCCGAGGGGATTTTAATTTTAGAAATGCAGAGTGGCCAGAGACCGCGGGGGCGGTTCAAGCACGCCCTTATGTACAGTAGAGGATGCAGGGCGGTATTCAACCCCGAAAACAAGGGGTACAGTCGCCGGCGAAAGCGGACTTTTTAGGGCCGGATCGAAATTACAAAACATAGAGAGCCCGGGCGTGCGAGATCAAGATCGGCCGGCATTCACGCGAACCGTCTGGGCAAATATTCTTGTTCTCGCCCAGACACAAGCGGAAGATAGCCGCTATCGGGCCCGGCTCCTTTATTTATGCGCAGGACCGTGTAATTATCAGGTTTGGCCAGGTTTTTTTTTTTTGGAGGGGGGACCCTTGAATGGACGGATTTGGATGGACCATCTTCCAAACACCTCTATCACATTGTAGAAATGTTTAATACATGAATGTGGCAAACATAAATCGTCAGAACGGATCCAAATGAAACAAAAGAAGAAGTGTCTAGCGACACTAGACACAGTAACGAACACAGTAAAACGACCCTCACCAAGACTAGCAAACTCACTGCTGCGGTTGGAGAGGGCTAGACTGAGAGGAGTGATAGGACTTTCACCGGTCACTGGCATCTGAGAAAACGATGAACCATCTGTAAATTATGCAATGACGAGGTGGAAACAGCCACCCATAACATCTTCGAATGCGAAACGGCTCAATGGAGATTTATTAACCTAGCATACAGGTAAAACCTAGGAATGAAATTGTAGCAGTAACAGTCAATGACCTAATACTTTGAGAAGGATTGAGTCGTTTGGACTAAACTAGGGAACAAGGAGGTAAGCCAGAAGGCTGCAGTGCAAACCCCGCTTCCTAGTTTCGTCATCATCATCATACATATCGTATTTTACGGGAGTATTATGAGCAAACATAAATGTTACAATTATTTAGAGATCGTGAGATGCGGTCTGGAGTGATGTAGGTTTAGAAAAACATTTTCTTTATCGTGCCAACTTTTCGATCTTTATTGAAATCATCTTCAGACCTGGGATTTATAAATATTGTTTAAATTATACATATAAGATATGACTAGGAATTTATACAATGATGTACACAGTATAGAAATTTTAGGTTTAATCAAAGTATTTGTACTCACACAAAGTGCGTGTTTTCTGTGTAGATGAGTCACTTTGTGTGTTGTTGAGATATTAAATTTTTTTGTTTATATGTTTGATTTTGAAGGAGTGGGGAAGGAAGTAGGGATAGAAATTCATTTTTCTACGAGGAGTCGGCTTCTTTGAGGTGAAAGGGGCCGGCAACGGGAAAAAAGGGGTAATGGCTTGTCGTTCGGGCCTAGTTTCAGGATTATTATAGACGGGATTGTTAAGGAAAAGAAAGATAAATTGTGGGGATTTAGACTTTATACGTGTGCTATTGACGTTGACTTAAATTAGCGTAGTTGCAGCCGAGTTTATATGTGTCTGTTCTGTAATTGATGCAGTGTTTATCCTGTTGATCTAAACCATTTCTAAAAAGTTTCGTTTATGTTTGTTTTGTTCTGTGTTTAATATTGTTGAAATCGAAATTTTTGGTGTGTTCAAAATGGTGGGTTGCCAGTGCTGTAGGATTTTCTTTGGGTTATTTGCCATCATAGATATGTTATTTTACTGTCTTATTTTATCTTATATTGGGATGTAATTACGATGTAAGTTGCAGGTCAAATTGTACAACTGATTTTGTAAATTATATCAGACTTATTTGTTACTGGTGTGGGATCTTTGATTTTGGAAAAAAAGGTGTTAATAATTTTATAGTTTTTGAAGGCTATTTTAATGTTATCAGAAGAGAGAAATGTGTTTAATTTATGTGACAGGCGGTGAATGAATGGCATGGAAATGTATGTTGGTTTGTCTCTGTTTGATAGAATTGATGTAGTGTCATTAGTTACAGTAGATAGGGTTAGTGTTTTGTATTTGTTGATTATTCTGTTGCTTATGTGTTTAGGGTAGTGATTGTTATGTAGTATATGTTTGTATATCTTTATGTTCTTGTGGTGAAAAGGTACATGGCTCAGGGTAATAATTCTGTGAATTAGCCCTTTGGCCGTATTTCTTATAAAAACTTTGATTAAACCTAAAATTTCTATATTGTGTACGTCATTGTATAAATTGCTAGTCATATCTTATATAAACAATGTTTATAAATCCCAGACCCTGAAGATGATCTCAATAAAGATCGAAACGTTGACACGGCAAAGAAAATATTTTTCCATATCTACATCACGCCAGACCGCATCTCACGGTCTATAAATAATCATAGTATTTATAAATAATCAATATATAAATAATCAATAAAAAGTATTTATTGAATTTGAAGTTATCACATTTGATTTTCACATTGTATCGAATCACAGGCCCCAGAATGGGAAATACAAATTTTCAATACAAAAGTGTGTTGAAATTACGAAGACATAATGTGTTACAAACATATAATAAATTGGAGTGTGGATGAGATTCATTTCCCAACTTTTGTAAATTTTAATCGGGAATCTCACTATATATTAGACTATCTGGACCATTACTACTCTGAAGAAAGTTATAACGTATGACGATGTTGTTCATCCGATGAGATAAATACCTGACTCAAAATAAAAAATAAATATAAAACAAATAATAAATAAATAAATAAAATATTTACATGGACATGCGTTAATCCGTTTTGAATAAAATTCATAGTGGATCGTTTAGAAGCCCCCTAATCCATGAAAACTTAAGAATCCGACCAATGGTTTCAGAGATATA